CAAGTGTCTGGACAAATGAAATGTTCTTAACATTTCATAATAAATATCCCTGGATAGTGGTAAAAGACCAAAAATTGGGCTGTAGTATATGCGTGCAGGTTCAAAACCTTGCCACATATAAAACATAAGGGATTAGATTTGCTATTGAATGGACAGAGTGTAGTGTACATACTTATGGAGTTAGTGATAAAGATAAAAGACAATCCTTAAGAAAAAAATTCCATAAGCATAAAATTAGTGAATGTCATAAAAGATGTGAACAAATTTTAAAAGCACAAGAAGAAAATATTTTGCCAAAAGCTGTGTCTAGGGGTATTTCTGGTAAATTTGAGAGTACAATAAGAGTATTTAATACTGTATATAGTATTGTTAAAAAAACAAGACCATTTACTGATTTACCATTTGATATTCAACTTCAAAAGTTAAATGGATTGGATATGGGTYGCATTTTACACAGCGATCATGCTTGTGCTGATATTGCTAGCCATATAGCAATAGAAATGAAAGCAAAAGTTACAAATTTTATTGTCAAAAATAATTTTAAAATTGAAGTATTAATTGATGAAGCTACCTCAGTGTCGAAAAAGACTTGTCTGGTTGTTTGTATTAGAGCTTCCACAGATGTCAAAAATGAAACAAACCCAATAACATTTTTTTTAGATTTATTGGAATTAGAAAGTACAAAATCTGAGACCATAGTTGTGCAACTTTTGTCATGTCTAAACAAACACAAATTTTCTCATGAATTCTTAATACGAAATTTTATTTGCTTTGCTTATGACGGAGCTTCTAATATGATTGGAAGAAAATCTGGTGTGGGAAAACTTTTAACTGAMAAATATCCAGATTTATTGGTCTGGCATTGCTCTAATCATAGACTTGAACTTGCTGTTGATGATGTAGTTAATGAGGTAGCTGGCATAAATCATTTCAAAATATTTTTTGATACTCTTTATGCATTATATAGTTCATCACCAAAAAACCAGTATGGTTTAAAGAGCTGTGCTAAAGAATTAGATTTACAATTTCTATCAATTGGTCGAATTTTAAATACAAGATGGGTAGCTTCAAGTTTGAGGTCAGTTAAAGCTGTTTGGAGAAACTATGAAGCACTTTATTTACATTTTGACAAATGTAGTTTGGATAGCTCGAGAACATCTAAAGAAAAAGCAACATTTAAAGGTTTAAAACAGAAAATAACATCAACTGATTTTGTTTTAAATTTAGGTCTTCTATATGATGCTCTAACAGAACTATCAGACCTTTCATTAGAACTTCAAAAACGGTCTACAAAACTACCTGATGCTCATAACTTAATTAGAAGACAAATTATGATTTTTGAATCCATRTCTGGGAAGTGTAATGACGGTTTTTATAAAGAAGCTGAGAATTCTGAATGTAGTTTGACCTTTAAAAATATTGRCCTTCGTGAAAATAATAAAAATAAAATAAACTATAAAMAATTTTATCGAAGCTTGGCTGATAATTTAAAATCCAGAATGTTAAACTTTACATCTTCACATGTATCTTCAACATATGACACATCAAATAAGTATGTTGAGTTTATTCAACTGCTAGAAGTTTTAAACCCACAAAAATGGCCTTTAGAAGTGGATATATTATATGGAGAGAGAGRAATAAAGCAGCTTTCAAACATATTTAAAATAAATGAAAGAGATTCAGTCAGAGGTTTTCGTGAGTACATAGATAATAAATCTGTTATACCAAACAACCTTAAATCTTTAACTCAAGCTRTAAATACATTGGTAGTTTCTACTGCTGAATGTGAGAGGCTCTTTAGTGCCATGAACATTGTTCATAATGATATTCGAAATACATTAGAAGTTTCACGTGTATCTGATCTTTTGTGGATTAAATGTGTTGGTCCACCTTTGTGTGAATTTAATGCAAATACATATGTAGAGTCTTGGATTTCTAAAGGTAGAAGATGTGCTGACCATACACAATGCATTTCAAAGCAAGAAATTAAATATAACACAGAATACAAGAGTCTTTGGGAGCAATTAATGTAATCTACATATTCATTATTATAAGAGATTAAGTTTTTTTTTTTATATACTTTAATAATTTAACTAAGAAAAAGTATTTGCTAGATTAAGTACAAAAAATTTTTTACTTAAATATTAATTAATACTTTTATAATAATAATTATAATAAATACTAATATATTTTGTTATATTGTTAGTATTAATTACAATATACAAATTTAACTATATTATAATCTAAAATTTCAACAGAAAAATATTATAAATAAAATATTTTATCAGTTTTTTTGCTACTAAATTTGAAAATATGTTATTTATTTGTTTAGTTTTAAAGATTATTTATGATAGAAAAAGATTGTAGTATTCTGATGCATAAACAAAATGTGAACTATAAAAAAAAAATACTATACAAGGTATGAAGAATGTTACGATGATATCAGGAAATCTGAATTGTAAGGCATCCCTCCACTTATCTTGAGCCATTTCGACCACTGAATATGTTAGTATATTTGGTTAKTGTTAGTTTTTATATTAAGTGTTACTCACCCTTTTATATAATATTAATTCCCATAATCCCATATAATTACATTAAAATATATCATTCCCATATGTTTYCTTATTTCTATGTGAATATAAAGTGATTAAATAATACATTTTTTTATTTTTATTTTTTAATTAATTGATTAATATAATATGAATATCTTATGTCTAATATTATCCCTTACCACTTTATTATTTCTATGTTATTTACTTAAAGAATATTTTATTTTTATTTATTTAATTATTTTTTTTTAAATTTTATTCTCAAATTCCTTATATATAATATATATATTATTGTCATTTATTTTATTTGTCATTTTGTTTTACTATTGTTTATTTTAGTGGATTATCATCCATTCAATTTTTGATGCGCGACTCAAAAACTTATATATAAAAAACGTTTTTCAATACGAACACCATGGTCGAATCGATTGTTATTATTTTGATTTTTAATTACCGTTGTGATTTTATCTTTCTCGTGTAGTTCAGATTATAATGATTTTATGTATTTTTTATATAGTATTTTTAACATGTGAACCACTAGAAGTCACAACTATTATTATTCAAATATTTAAAATTCATAATCAGACTTCTAATTGTTCAACTGTCTCTGTTACTCTTTCGTGTAGATCACAATGTAGAGAAGATAAGGTGATACCACTCGTAAATATTCCTGATGCCAATTTGGACGGCAGTTTGATAGTACCGCGGGAGCGCGATAGGTAGCGCCACGATTCGCCTGGAGGCCTGTTTTTCCTTTTTGTTGCACGTAAAATCATGAGGTTGATTTAGGATTTAGGATTTTCTTTATAAAATAATGT